GTCCTGTAACCTGCCTATCATGTACCTTCGACAGCAGTGACGATAAGCTAGGAAGAGTAAAATATAATATCTGTATCTGCCAGATCCCAGTAGTGGAAATGCTGATGTGTAAGTGTAGGTGATTAAGGGAGAAAAGACAAAGAAAAAAAAGAAACAAAGACAAGTACATATCAGCAAATGTGCTTGCAGGCAGACAAACAGTAAGTGTGATCACCACCACAGCTTTAATTGGCAGCATGTCTTCTGTGTTAGTGGTGGCAGCAGTGATGATGAAGCTATCTCACTGTATCTGGTGGCTCTTCAGGTTGAGTCAGTGAGGCTGTGCTGGTAATGTGCTGATCACAGCAGCTTCATAAATACTTCAGCTCAGCCCAGAGCAGAAGAAGCTACATCCTGAAAAAATCCTGCCACTTTCCCCAGTGAAACAAAGAGGAACTGCTTGGATCATTGTTGGATCAAAACAATGGTAGTGTTTGCAATCATTGGTATGATTATGGAATGACATTTATACAGCATTGTTCAAATTTTACAGTAAAGTTCAGAAAATCTCCTGTGTAACTGTTTTTAACTGTTTTTCTATTTCTATCTTCTGTATATCATCATATTGGTGTGTTTGTACTGTACAGCACTGATGTTATTATGTTTGAGCAATTCAGTTTAAGTGAATAGTCCATTTTTTTCAAGGCTATTTCTACTCAACGTTCATCCTATGAAGCGTTCCTCATGTTCTAAAAGATCAAATCCAGAGTACTTATTGGTCTGACCCGAGTCAAACTTAAGTTGGCATTAAAAAAAAATCCTCTGTTTATGGCCTCTCTCGACATCAACAGATGTGTCCAAATTTTAATTATGGCTTCAAAACATGCCATGTTTCTGTGATAACAGGCCATCAGGAGACATAAAATGATAAAAAAGAACGTGGGATTATAAATGTGAGCAGATTCTTCAGTGGGGAGAAAAGCAAAGCGGAGAAAATGAGAGATACCGATTTAATTGTACCGCTTCCTCTGACTGATAGGGGACTGCGGCAGGCAGTCCCCTATCAGTTTTTAACGGGTCTTTTTGTTTTGATCTGTGATACTAACAACATTAACGGTGTCTGCTTTTGACTCAGTCTGCTCTTTTACTTGTTGGATGAATGTGTAAAACGCTTGACTATGGCATTATAAGAGTTTAAAAAAATACATAAATAACAGAAATAACATTGTCTGCATATCAATAAGAGAGAGTTTGGGGTTTTGTTTGTTTGGGTTGGGGATTTTTTGGCACTTTGTTTCCACTTTTTGAGACTGTGTGACTGTCAGTCCATGAATTTCTTATTATATCTATCTTATTTTATCATAATAAATAGAGAGCATAATAAAATATATCATCTGTAATATGCCCTTATCTCATATCTGCTACATGTAGATTGCTTTTTTCTGAGTGAACCTTGCTTCCAAGCAAGGTAAGATCTTTTTTTTTTACGTGATGGATGAATGCCCATCGAATTCTGTGTATTTCCACATCAAATATATCGACTTAGACTATGGGAAATTTGTGTAAATTACTTTAAAAATGTCCATTTGTGGTGCCGTGTGGCCAAAAAAATGTGGATGCCTTGTTTGAACATTTAAATCACCGCATTTACAATAAGTTAGAATACTGCATTCTCAGTTTGTGATAATGTAATTAGAATATGATGAGAAATACTTTCTTTATCACAAACGTTGGGAAGCTACTGTGTTACAGCAGCTGATTAAATAGAAAAATACGAAAAAATGATGCAATCAAAGTGTGATGCAAAAAGGAGATTGAATAAATATATATACATATAGTCAAAGTTAGAATTATTTCTGGTGTACACAGCCTAACGATAAAAAATTAAACAGCACACAAGAACAAGTTGTTTTAGACTTGGAACAGGTACTCATTTTATTTGAATGATTAGATGAAACTACAAAACCATTAATAAAACAAATGACTCTTTTTATAAATTATTTTTATAAACATATAAAAGCAAAAAATAAGATTTACAAAGACGATAAAGACATAATATGATACAAGCTCTTACAACTGAGCTGAGATATGCATTGCTGAACAACACATTTGCCATTTACAGCAGG